TGTATATATATGCATTATAAAATCAGTGTTAGATTCTATGAGTATCAATACTCCACTAGCTGACATATTTCTAGCTTTACCTGAGTTTTGCTTGTATAACATCTTTTAGTAACCAGCCAAGGTGATACAGTGTGATTCATACTAAAGAAGGCAGCATGAAGAATAGAAAAATGTAGAAAAATGAAGGACTGTTGATTCCACTGGCTGAAATCATATTGGCAATTTTTTCTCTTCTCTTTAGTGATGCCACAAGATATTTTGAAGATGACATTAAATAACATACATTTTCCTCCCCAAATAATCTCCTATTCTGCTTTTAACCACCATATTATGTGCAACATAAATCATACTTTTTCTTGTCACTATAAATCAGTGAAGTCTAAGCTGTGATTGTGCAATTGTTAGCACCTTTAAAACTGTGATAAGCTCATCCATAGAAGAATAGGTACTGTGAAATACTTCAAAGAAAAAGGCTGTGTTTGTTTGATATAAAAAAATGTAGTTTTAGAGTATGACCAGTACATTTCACTCTTAATTTAAAATGAAATTGAGTGGGTTTTTAAAACTACAGCCACAAAATAGAACCAAAAGATATAGAAATAGAAATAAACTAAAATCTAAAACTTTTGGAGTATAAAGCCCTGAAGAGACCATAATAATAGACAGTAAAATCACTCTTTAAAATAGGACTGGTATAAATTTGTCAGAAGTTGTAAAACAGACATAATACACAGGAGTTTATGCCAATGAAACTCATCACACAGTGAAGTGTTTCAGATGAGAGTTGGTGCCTGCAGGGCCCAGACCCTGGCAGGTGGGAACCTGGGTGACTCAGTGGATGCAGTCAGCCCTGCAGGTAAAAGTCTTATCTGGAAGTCATATGTGGATAGGAAGTTGCTGTTCTACACTTGAAAGATACTTTGGGAGTACCTTCTGAGTCAAGGGAAGCACCTAGGCTATACTATCAAGGTCACTTTACAAAGCTTCTGGCATTGTGACATTTCCACCTCACTCTAGCTCAGAACTGAGCTGGGGATTAAGTCCAATTTATAAATTAAGAAACTGAGCCTCAGAGAGACATTGTGTCTTGGCCAGATGTATACATTTAGTAAGTCCTAGGTCAGGCCTGAATCTGCCTTTCCTACTGCACCTCGCTGCCTCATGAACCACACTGTCTTTAGGGGAAGATCTGCAGTAATCATAAAAGTTGGCTGGAAGGCAGAGGATTCCCTGATTTGTTTCCTCCAATACACCTTTAGGTCTTTTCTGAGTTGACCTGTTCAGATATCAAAATCCATCTCAGTGTCCATTGTCTCTTTTATAATATCCACCTCCATTCTCTCCACAATAAGCTATGAGAGGAAAGTTTTATGTAAGAATTAGATCCATCCACTAGAAGGGTGAAGACTGAGGGAAGAAAGTAAGATATGAATATTGTTGTTTACAGATAAAACAACCTCTTTCCAATGCTTCAGTGTAGGTAAAATCCTAGGACTTTTAAGAGCTCCTCTTAAAAGTTTGATGTTTAGGTAAATTCATGATCTCAACACTCTAGATTCACTCCTTTACTGTGTTTAGTGAAATCATCATTTCCCCCAAACATACTGAAGGACAGTATTTGAGTAATTTATTCAAGACTGCACTGATAGAAATTATGTTCACTGGCCTCTTTTTATCTGTCTTTGAACATTAAGTGCTTGGTGTTTAGAATCCATACATATAACTTAAAAATAACCCTGTCTAGGACAAATCTCTAGTTTCCAGTTCAATTTCTTTGGTCGAATGGACTTATTGTTTTATTAAACTTAAACTTTTAATAGCCTCTTCAATTCTATGATTTCAACATTCACTATGCCTTAAGTGAAATTTTACATATTAGTTTTTATAGCTTATTTGTAAGGAATATTTTAATTCAATTTAGTTTAACATTTCATTACCTTGAATTACCTCTTCTCTTTTAAGTTTCTTTCTTTTCTTTTCCAACAATTGATTTGTTGCAAGAAAGTAAATTAAATAGTATTTCTTGAATGATTTTGTGGACATGGTTTAACATAATAATATATCTCAAAGAAGACATTTTCTTGTAACTCAACATTCAACCAACAAAATTTTTAATAAATAACTACCAGAGAACAGTTATTATGCAAGCATCTGAAAATGCAAAGACAAAACATTTGCTGACCATGTGTGATTCTTTTCAGTCAAGAAAACAAGAGAGACAAGGCAAATGAGGATAAAAATATTGCAAATGCTTTGATGCTATGATAAGAGTACACAGTGCAATCACTTGTTGGTTGAATGAAATGCCTGGTACAGTTTCAGTGTCAGGGAAATGACAGCAATGTCTTCCCTCACAAATTGGACATTCTACTGCAGGTCCCAAGGGGCACAAAAGATCAGTCCTTCTGGGTCACCAAGGCTCCAGTGAAGAAGGAGGCATTTCTTTCTGGGTCCTGTTTAAAGGAAAAATAAAACAAGCTCTAATTGCCAGAGAAATGGCTACTAGGAATTATGTGGAAAATAATTTATGTATCAGAATGATTGAAGGAACATGGAAGCAGAGATGCTTTTTAATTTGTAACCTTGAACCCTGGAAGCAATGCGTACTGTACCTGTGTGTGGCAGGTTTCTATGTCAGGGTTCTTTCTGGAACTAGCTAGTTCCTGAAGCTGTCAATTTTCTAAATCTGCTCCACCATGAAAGATAAATTCATTTAAAGCTAAATAAGGTAGAATGGTACAATTTGTCTCACTTGATTCAGCAGTAATGCCTTCAATTCTGTAGAGTATGTTAGATCAGAACAGATTTTTCTTTCTTAAATGGAAGACTCTCAAGGATGTCGAAGTTGTTTTTTCTGTTGTTCAGTCTTTCAATTCCAGTGTACTCTGAATGTGAGTCATTCATCTTATGCATTCCTTGTACAGATACTCCCTCTAAGTTCGCTATATATTAACTTTGGTGAATCATTATAACTTAAGAAGAATCTTCATAAAATAACTCTGAGCAACATATTTGGGATTACATTTGCACAATGAATAAAAATACTTGCTCCAGCAACCTCAAGTTTTGCTGTAAAATCAAACAAGATAATGAATGTGAAATGTATTTTAAGAATATCAAAGGCCAAAACTTTGTGGATTCCTACAAGTGACTTTACTCATATTAATTTCAGTAAATAGGGAGCTACATATTAGCTTCAAGTATCCTTTTTTTCTCCTACCAAAGTCTTTTACTAGGTTTGTGCATATGTAATAAAAACAATTATTATATTTTCTGAAAATGCTCCTTATACCACAGCCTGTGTATCTTATCTCATTGTATCCTTTACAAAATGATTATATATTTACAAAATTTTATTTTATTATTACACTTATTCTAAACATGCTTTATTGGATTTATTTCGTAAGCAATTATTGAGTGGCAGTACTCCACTGGACTCTAAAGAAATTGACAGTCCCCATTAAATTTAAATGAGAAATAATAAAGATTATTTTGTCAGAGTTTGGTCATTCTATGATTCACCTATTTCATGCATCAGTGCTACTTCTAAACTTATTTTCCTTTTCTTAACCTATTATTACCTTTCTGCAGTGTTTCTTCAATTTTAAGGCGCATAATAGGAGTAACGTATTGAAATGGAGATTCCCAGGCTGTACCCCTAGAAAGATTAAGCAGACCTGGGGATCTGCATTTTCATGAAGTGTTTGGGGGAGCTGGTGATCTCTTGGATTTCACTTGGAAAGAGTACTTACATGATGTGTCCTTTTGATCCAGGACTCTCCCTAATGAAGGCAACATCAGACCTCCTCAAATCCCTCCATCTGCCTGTCTCACTGTCACACTCTCAGACGCCAACTTAGATTTTTCAGTCTATATTCATTCATCACCCTGCCGTGAAATAATCCTCTGTTGTGATGCGCTGACCTTATTGGAGTCACTTGTACTGAGTCTCCTGAGAATGACACCACCTTTTGTTTCACTTAAAAACTAAGTGATGTGGTGGAATGTCTGGAAGAGAATGAAGGAGTGCCCCTGACAAAAGAAAGAGTTTTAAAGGATGTCTCAATACAAATCAGCTGGCAACTGCTTGCCTGTAGGGAAAATCCTTTATATTTATTAATTATTGAATCTTCATAACAAATCTATAAAGTATGTTCTATCATTACTTTCATTTTATAGTTAAAGACACTGAGGCTCAGTAACTTTATCAATATCACTCAAATAGTATAGGGTGAAGAAGGAGTTTAGGTTAGGTGGACTGTCTCCAGGGTTCAGGGTCCATTACAGTTCTAGTGCTACTTTTCTCTTAATCAAAGGAGTGACTTGTGTACCTCTTGTAACCACCATTAGCATAAGAATAACTTTCAGTAATTTGCAAAACAAGAAAAAGAAATCAAAACAATTCTCAAAAGCAAATCAAAACAAAACTGACACTATACTGGGATAGTTTCTCTTAATAGAGAATACTCCATGGTAAGTGTAAATACTTGAATCAGAAAATCTGGGCTTCTAATTGTGGACTGTTACTACCTTACTTGATGACCTATGAAATTTGCTTACCTTAATTCATTCTCAGGTTCTAATAAGATGAATTGACAATGCAAGGTTTGGTAAATATTAAATAAAATAATTAAGTAAGTGCTCAAGGTAATGTCTGTAATATAGCAATCTCTCCACAATCAATATCTATTTACTGCTATTGTGATTGGTAGTAATAAACTTAATTTAGTAGACTATGAAAACTAGGCTAGACAACACTTTTGGCAAAATGAAATACGTTATCAAAGTTTAATTGATGTGGAATCTTTTCCTTGTGATGGGCAAAATTCAAATACCTGCATTCCTTTTTGTGAAGTGACAGGAAAAAAAGTGAAGTGTCACAGATAATACACTTCATCTTGGGTGGTCTGCCTGGTTTACAATTTAGAGTCACAATGGCAGAAGTTGACTTTGCTCCTTTGAGTGTGTCTCTTCTGAGATGGCTCATTTATCTTCCACAGGTGATCATCCCAATGCTCAGCACCTGCTAGCCATGGCATCAGGACTGCGGGAGATCGCTGAACTCTTTCAGTCAGATGAAATGCGACCTGCTAATGATCCCAAGGAGAGAGCTCCTGTCCGTGTTCGGATGCTGAATGACATCCTCCAAGACATGGAGAAGAGCTTCCTGGTACAGCAGGTGCCACCGGGTTTTTATAGGTAGGATATTTATTTCCAAATGTATTTATTTATTGATTTTTGCCCTTGATTAAGTTGTTTTAATTTTTAAAATATGTATTTTCTGTGAATATGACACTTAAAAAAAAACTATGAGGCCATAACATCTACAATTTGAAGACTATCCTTCGGCCAAAGAAAAGTTCAAATGTAAAAATAGAGAATAAAGAAAACTTGTTTTTAACAGTAACCATATAGAAAATGACTAAGAATATTTTTACATTAATTTCAGCATCAGTCAAATGTGATATGGCTACTGAAAAAAGCAAACAGAATTAAAGCTCTGTGGATATTACATCCTAGTCTGGATGCCTTAAGCATCTGAATATTTGGGTAACACAAGGTTTTTAGGATATTGGCTTTTAGGACAAAAGTTCTGTGATCCAACAAGCATCTAAGCTCTCTCCACATCTTAATTTCTATGTCTATAAAGTGAGACAGTAAAATGAAATCTTTTTATTGAAAAAAAAGCTTTTCATATTTCTGATGTTTGATAATTTCTCTTTACGATTTTAAACTCAAATTTACATTTAAAATCCATAGTTATATAATAAATATCCTTTAAAAAAATGTAGGTACTAGGGATTAAACCCTATGTCCCCAGTCCTTTAATCTTTTTTTTTTTTTTTTTACATTTTAAGGCAGGGTTTCACTAAGTTGCTTAGGGCCTCGCTAAATTTTTGAGGCTAGCCTCAAACTTGAGATCTTCTTGCCTCAGCCTCTTAAGCTGCTGGATTACAGGTGTCTACCACCATGCCCAGCCTTTATATAATGTCTTCTAACAATATGACCCAGTAAGACTTTGGAAAATAGTCACTTATTAAAATACTTTAAAGGAACTGTATGCTTCAATGCATTCTTTTAAAGCATCAGAAATGGAGCATTCCCCTTGTTAAAAACACCTGTTTTTTAAAAAACAGGTTCTTCTAGTGCAGGAATGGGAAACAGAAAGAACAAGGTAATTAAATAAAATGTAGTGATGGTAGATATTGTAATAAGAACTAAAGAGAAAAAGCAAACCACATTAAATCCAGCTTTATTAAAAAGTTCTTAGCAGGTTAGGCACGTTATGTTTTGGGATACATTTAGTAATTTTTTCTATTTTCTTAATTTATTAAGAAAAAATTAGAGGCTAAAAAAAATCATACAAAATGAGTATATTCTATATATGACAAAATAGTAAACTTTCCTCATTTGTTTTTCCTGGCACCTGCACTAGATATAAAGGACACCTCTATAAGCTAAGTTTTCCATCTAGTAAATTCTTTACCCTTTCAATAACCTGTATGTACTTAATTTACTTTATCATGCATTTTTAATAGAAAAGTAAGTATTTGCCTGCCCCTGAGTTAATAATGAGCAAACAAATGGTATTGTTTTTTTCTGTGAGTAATATTATAACAGAGTACATTTTATCCCAGCTGTACAGGACTTGAAATGTTGATTATGAAATGTCCTGATTCATATAACAAACTTTAGGGATGAAAACTTATGGTGAAATATTTTGATATTGTGCTAAACTTTTGCTACTGTTTTTAAAAGGATACATATCTGACATTCTTTTCCTGAGTTCAAATGCTAGATCATATGATCAACTGATATTTAGCTTCATAAGAAAACTGTCCAATTTCTTCCCAAGTGGCTCTACCATTTTACATTCTCACCAGGGATAAATGACACTTTTGGTTGCTCCACATTCTCAACAAAATTTGGTATTGATGGTGGTTTGGGAATTCACTATTTTAATAGGTGTATATTGGTCTGTTCTTTTGAACTTACAGTTCTCTATGACACATGATTTGCAACATCTCTTTGTATGCTTATTTTCCATCACCATAGCTTCAGCAATGAAATATCTGTTGCAATAGTCTGTCCATTTTTTGAAACTGAGCTGTTTGTTTTCTGGTTGTTGAATTTTAAGAATCCTTCCTGTAACTTGGATATAACATCCTATTATCGGATATATGTTTCATAAAGATATTTTTATATCTTTGCTGATATAAAGTTTGTTTAGTTTTAATGTCATCTAGCTTATTGGTTTTCCCTTCACACATCATGCTTTTTTGCGTTGTATTGAGAAAGTGATCGTCAAACCCAAGGTTACCTAGAGTTTCTCCTACGCTATGTTTGAGAAGTTTTATTATTATGTGTTTTGCACTTAGGTCTATGATCAGTTTTGAGTTTATTTTTGTATATAAGTTTTGGTTTATATATAAAATTTTTCTTTTTCTGCACAAAAATGTTCCGTTTTCGCACATTGTTTAGACTCCACCTTTCTTCATTGACTTGCCTCTGCTCTTTGGTCACACATTGTAGTTTTAATATTGCCTTTTGCCGGCAGCATCTTACTAGTTCCCAGTAGAATAGCTCTCAGAATTAAGAATGCCATATAAAAGTGATACTGGAGGGGCAGGAGTTGTGGCTTAGTGGACGAGTACTTGCTTCCTACGGGTGAGGCACTGGGTTCGATTCTCAGTACCACATATAAATAAATAAAATAAAGGTTCAACAACTAAAAAAAAAATTTAAAAAAGAAAAGTGATAGTGGAGAAAGGGCATTGTGCTTGGGATTTACAAAAGTGAGAAGACGTTTGAGCATTAAAATGTGTCTTTTCCTTTCAGATGACCTGCAAGCTAATTAGTACATGAGAACCAGATGCTCATCTCTAAAATAGAAAATCTCAATAGGCTGTTAATATTAACATAAAGTGAGATGAAATGAGAATAAGATGTGAGAAGATGATTTATAATAATAATAATTCATAATTACAAAATAAAATAATTGTATATCATTATGCTGTTTTTATTCCTGACTATCTAGTGTTCTCATTTCCAAAGCCTCTTTTCCATAATGCCTAGGGAGAGATATTTTTAAATTAAATGACACAAAAGGTTCTTTACCACCAGAATCACTATAGTGAGGTACATATTTCATTTAAATTTTAAAAAATATATATATTGCTTTCCATTAGTAAACATTTGCTAATCACCTACCATTTGAGAGATTTCCATATTCCACAGAAAGTAAAAAAAAAAATTGGAGAGAGGGGATGGAATTAAATATGGAGTTAAAAAAAGAGTAAACAGATTATTTGAATATACTAGCTTCTAAAATAAATCAAGATACTTTAAAAAGAGGTTAAAAACCATTTTTTAAAGTGTTCAGGGAATGTCACTGTATGCATTTTGGTTTCCTGAGACAGATTTTGTTACATGTATTAATGTTTAAAATTGGAACTACTTTTTAGAATTTGGCATCAGCCATTTTGTTATTGAAATATTATCTTGTGTGTGTATTCTTCCTAGCTTATTTTAGCAAATTTCAGCAAGATTCCTGGCCTTGTCATCAATTATTAGGTTTACAGGCATGCATTCTTGAGGCTGAGGTTGTATCTATTATTTCCTTTTTTTCATTCACTGATACGTTCAGTCTATATAGTCTTTAAAGTTAAATATTACCAGCTCCTTCATTTTAAATGAGTGGAAACAGAGACTTTTGATTTGAAAATTTTAAATGTTCGACTAGAAACCATGGGATTTCAAAACTGCTTTCTGCAAAAATGATTAGCAAAGGTTTTCTGTTAATAGGCAGCCCAAATATAGGGGTCCTAGATATAGCAATATGAACTCATATTCATGCATTGGGGTAGAATATCTGCATAAGATCACACATTTACAATGTTTACACATTTAAAGGATAGCAAATAGAAAGAAATAATTTCTCTTTCTTCCTATCCCCCTTTCTCCCCACCCTCACACATTTCTGCAGCATCAACTGTGGTCAGGCAGAATTTTAAGAGAATTTTACCAAAGTTTAGGATATTTGATGTGGTTTGGGGGAGAAGCATCAAAGTTTACCATTGCAGTGGTTCTAATTGAAGGATGTAGGAATTTGAGAAGGAAGCAGACATGAACCAGTGTCTAGTAATGGGTACCAGGTAGAAATGGTACTTTTAGAAAAGTGAACATCTTAAACCCCATCATTAAAACTGAATTAAAGTCTAAATGTTACCTTTAAAAGAAATCCACTGATTAAGTTATAAAATCATCCTATTCTTCTTTCAAAATCTGATTTTTTCAGTTACATCTTGGTTAAGTAGACTGCAGGGGTCTCTAAGTAACTATATTTCTAACATTATTTCTCCAAGGTTACATCAGAGTATACAAAGATGACTGTAATCAGTGACTTAGGGAACACAGACTATTTGTAAGTTGAGGGACATTATGTCTATGTGCCTACACATGTATCCTTATGAAAGATGTGGCAACAGGTTTATGATAAAGTACGTTCTTTTGGAGATAGCCAAAATGGCCTTGTGAAAGTTCAGAGGACCATTTCAAGCTAATCCAGGTCAAGGCAATTTTTTTGTTGTTGTTAGAATCCCTGAAAGCAGGAAAATAGCAGTGTAAATGTCAAGATGCTTCTGCCTTGAACTAAGAATAAACAAACCAAGCAATCCACTAAAAGTAGTTTTCAAACACATAAGCTACCAAACTTTGTTTTAAAAAAATGTTAGAACTATTTAGTCAAGGAATGACATTACACAGAATTATTTAAAAAAACACATTTCTCAGAAACCCTGTGATCAGGTTTCTAGCTATACATTCATATATACATTTGATTTTAAGAAATTTAAGATATGAAAATCCAAACCCCCAAGCATTTCAGAATAACAATGATCTCATTATACAGTTTTCATGGTGTTTTAATAAGAGTTAGTTATGTAAGTACTAATAAAACCTTATGTTCAGTTTTTGATTGGGATAATGACTACTTTGTTCGGGTTGTACTCTTTCTTTTAGTGAGGTGTGGGTGGTCTGAATGGAACTAAAATCTCACCATTGTTTCTCTTGTCATTAATTCTATCAGCAATGCCTCTGATTTCTTTAGGCTATGAAAAAAATAACTAGTGATTAAGAATTACCATAATGCTTTAAAAATATTTTTAATAGCCACCACTTGCACAAAAGAGTCTATGTAT